ATTATGATGTAATTAAATTATAAAAAATTAGATTTTAATGAGTGTTTTTATAATTATATTAAATATTAGATATTTTTTTGTAAAAGCTACAGTTAAAATTTTTTAAAATAAGATTTCTAAATTTATATATAAAATCATTGTAAATCTACTGTGATTCTTTGTAATTAAAAAAAAATTAATATAAAAAATATTATTAAATACATATATATCTAAAAATACTATATGATTATATAAAAAAACTTCCAACCGCAATTACGGACACATCCTAAGTCGAATCCCACCCAAATAAGTTATTTACTTTGGCATGTTATAACTCGGTTTCTGTACCGTAGGATAAAGCCATCTTCCTATATTTGCAAAATGAACATGGCATTGTAGCGAGAAAGTAAGCTAAGTAACCGTCAAATACCAATACTAATCAAAGTCCAGGTAGGACCCCACAAAAAATTAATGACCCAGACTTTGAACACCGTCCTCAAATGACACAAATTCCCAAAAACTCAGGCCGGATGACAACTTTGAAGACTCACCTCAAATCAAGGTTTTTAAAACCGGACCGGACCGGCCGGTTGAACCGGTTGGACCGGTACCCGGTGATAAAAACGGTTCGGTTCACATAAGAAAACCGTTTGAGGTCAAAACCGGTCAAAACCGGTCAAAACCGGTCAAAAACCGGTAAAAACAGGTAAAAACCGATAGAACCAATAAAAACCGGTAAAACCGATGGAACCAGAAAAACCACCGGTTCAATTTCTCATGCAATCTTCTTTCAATTTTTTCCAATTTCACCCTTCCCATTCCTTTTTTATACCCATTTTAACCTTTAACTTTAACAAAATTACAAAATTATCAACACTAAATAAAAAAATCCATGCCTATAGCTTGCTCCTCTTATCAAACCTTCCTTATTGTTTGAACCGGCCGGTTCACCGGTTCAATCGATTGAACCGGTCAAACCGGGAACCGAACCTAAAAACGGTTCAATGACCGGTCCGGTTTTGAAAACATTGCCTCAAATGACCCAGCCTCAAGCTAAATTTCAATGCCGATACTAGTGCAGTCCACAGAAGACCAAATACTACTCCAAGTCCAAGGAAGACCGACTCCAACACTAATCCATCCTACAAAAAACGTTAACCAGTAGTAAATATCC